CGTGAGCTGTGAGCATCAGCGCTTTGTCCCGGCGGGGTCATTAGCCACCGCGGTGGCAGCAGAGGAGCTGTGCCCTCTGCTTGTGGGCTTTGGAGTCTGAGGACCCTCGGCAGCTTTTGCTGCGAAACGCCCCGTTGCTGGGTGGATATTAACGTTTGGCTCTTTGCATCGCCGGCGCGGCAGCGCGTTGCCATAGGCACAGCAGCACCGGCAGCCCACGTGGATATGAAATGTCAGAGCAACCTTTTTGCACCCGGCGGTGCAGCTGGGATGTTCCCAGTTTTTGCCAACAGATGGAGGTGTTACAGTGGATAGCTGCGGGAGCTGGGTACCCGGATACCGGCGGGAGAGCTGCATGGATGAGCAGGGCGCTCCAAAAAGCCTGCGGGACTGTGTGTGCTTATCGAGCTCCCTGCGTGCTACCAGGGTGCAACGTGCTTCCTCGCCTCCTCCTCTTGCCAACATCAGGTGGATTAGGCGTTACCATAGGGAAATAAACCGATGGTGCCCTGACCCATCTCGTTTTGGAAGAGACCCCGGGGCAGGAGAGGAGAGTGTGACCTGAGCAAGGGTTTGGAGAAGAGGCCTGGGCAGGGGTGTAAATGGGGACTGCTGGAGGAGAAGGGACTGCACGTCTGGAAGAGCAAAAGAAGGAACATACAAAGTATGGGGCAGCCCTAGTGTTTCCATTTGCTTCTCCAAAAGTCCAAGCCCTCTCCTCCCTGCTGTGCCCCAAACCAGCACTAAAGATGGCCAAAAAAGTGGTTCACGGCATTCTCTTAAATCCCCCCTAGTCCTATCTTGGGGCAGGTCTGGAAACTGGGATCTGCCCTGGTCACAAGCCCTTGGCAAGATTTCCCATTGGCAAGGCCAAGACTTGCTCCTGCGCTTTGTTTCCAGCTGCCAAACACCTTGCAGGGTGGGAAAAGCCTGCCCTGGAGGTATCTCCTGCTAAGGTGCTCCAGCACTGCTAACCCAAACCTGGTTTCAGCTATTTGATTTACTCACTTGGCGATGGCCTCGTCTCGGTCCCTGATAGCCTGCAGGAGCCGTTCATTCGTGTCCTTGTCTTCGGCTGCACCTCGTAGCCGGTCCCGTTCCTCCTTCAGCGTCGTCATCTCCACGCTCAGCAGAGTGACCTGCCGGGCAGCATGAGGAGGCCGTAAAACACACTCACGGCGGGACAAATTCATCGCGAGTGGGGGAAAAAAATGCCACATGGGTGAACCCGGCCCTGCAGGCGTCTGGTGCCACATATGCCAGCAACTCTGCAATCTCAACAGCTTTCAAGCCACCAAAGTGTCGGTGCGGAAATATTGCCCCCTCACAGGGCAGTTTGTCGAATGTGTCCGTCCTCTGTGTCTGACCTTTGGTGCCTGAGCTTTCCTGGGCTAAATTATTGCAAACATCACCTAACAGGCAGAGAGATTTCTGTGGCCGTTATTTCTTCCGAAGCTGCAGACAAAGGATGTGAAAATTCCTTTTCACGCTACAGAAGGTGTTGCTGGCACATCATGCAATTTTCATTAGACTTTAAAATATATGTGGAGTCTTAAACAGTCTGAGCAACGATCCATCTTTTTGGTCCTGGGCAGAGTGAGTTAATAGGCTGTGAAATCACGCCAGGACTGCATTAGCACAGCTTTGCAAGCTTTCATACATTTAATTCCTTTGTCTCCAGTGCACACGCGCTGCTACGCTACACTACTACCTGGAAACCCTTCCAGTGTCTGACCCACCTTCCTGCTCTGACTGCTGCTCAGTAGCACTTGAATCCTCAGAGAAATCTTTAAGTAGAGGGCAGGCAGTCAAAACGGGCTGCTGCCATCGGCAGCAAGGGAGGAGCTGGCATTACCGTGGGGTGTGGGAAGGAGGGCACAACAGCTCGCCGGGCCCCAGAAGAGCTGCTTTTGGGAAACGGGACGTGCCGAAGGTGTGAACCTGCCTCGCGGCGTGGGCAAATAAGCCTGTAACAATCTCTGTTGGCACAGATAAATTGCAGTGACCCAACCCTTGTCTCATCTCTCTCCAGTATCATTTAAGGGACCGGAGAGGCACTTGTAGAAGGTGCATAGGAGTCTGGGGACCACAAAAAGAGGAGGATCCTGGCACACAGCCTCAGCTCACATCTCGCCTGGGGCAGGGATTCAGACCCTCGCAGGTGTTGTTCGTGGTGGATGTGTCTCTGCCAGGAGTCACCCTCAGGAAGGACCGGCTCCAAAGCTGTTCCCTATCTGCCTCTAATTAGCCGGTTCTTCCATAGTGAGTAGCATGGATTTCCTGTCATCTTAAATGCGTAGCCTTTGCTGCCAGGGATATTTAATGACTCCTCTCACTGCTGCAGGAAGAGCCCTACTCTGACAGTGGTTGGAGCATGCTGTTAACCTTTAGCCGCTCGCGGTGAACCAAGTAGGCGGTGCAGGAGTATCAGTCTTGTCAAAGCCATGAACCCTCCTGGGCCTGCAGACAGGCTATCCTTGTAACTGGCCACTCAGATCCACACTTGAGATGACCAGATTTGAGCTATTTTGGGTCTAGGATGGGATAAAGTATCCCTTGGTTTGTGTGGAGGGGGGGTTTAAGAAGCTATTCTCCTCTTTGGCACCTGGGTGGAAACCTCCATAGCCCCTATGTGAGGCTGTCAGACCCCAGGTTGTGCTGAATTTTTTGACAGAGATGAGTTTTCTTTCCCCTTCTCTGAAAGCGTATGGAGAAAGGGCCATACAGGAGCCCTGGAACATCAAGAGTGATCATCTTATTTCCTACTCCAATACAATATGGTGCTACATGAGCAGCTGAGCAAAAGACTGTGTCTGCTGCCAGCCTCCAGATCTCCTACAGCATTTGGAGGACTTCTTCCATACATAGGTATTGCAGAGCTTCTCCTTGGGTGCCTGGCTCTGTTTTCAATGAAGCTGCTTTTGACATGGGACCTTGGACATGGAAGATGCTATTGCTGGCTTCAGCACAGATGTAGTCCCATTTGGCGCTTTGGGCATGGTGCTGCTTTCAGAGTTGGATCATTCTTGCTGTTGTGTTTGCACTAGCCTTAGACTGGCCCTGTTGACTTGGGGGGTGATGGCTGGGGCCAGGTTGTCCCCTAATAGGATTCTGGGAGTGAATTTACTGAGGGTGTCACGGTGCTGTTCTGGGATGTGCTGGAAGGGGGTTAGCTCCAAGACAGGGCAGCCTCACTTCGTCCATCCGGCAACTGCATCTGCGCTTCAAGAGGGCTTAGTACAAGCGAGCTGGATCAGGCTGGATGCCCGTGGGTTTCCAGTCCCCCATATCAAGCAGCCTTGTACTTTAGGGTCTTCTGCTGAGTAGAGTTTAAACGAGATCGGCTGGATCTGAACACAGACTTGGGGGCAAGTTTTAAAGGAAATTTGGCTGCTTTAAATGTCAGGGATGGGACACTGGACACTTAAAAGAAACTCTGATGCTACATACAGGAAGCCTCTGCGCCTCTGCTGTGGGCTTCTCAGAGATTCCCTCACACAGTCTTAACTGGTGTTTGACTGGATCCTCCTGGGCTATTCATCTTGTTGATCTCACCTACGGAAAGCCTGTCTTGGAAGATGAACATGGGTGTTACAAGATTACCTGTAAAGTGTGGGAATTGCTAACCTGGCTATGAAGTCGCTGCAGCTCCTCCAAACTCTGCCTCAGTTTCCCCCGCTCTCCCTCCATTAATTCCCTCAGGGCTCGCGAGTCCTCGCTTGTTCGCCTGATCTGTTCTTCTAAGGTGTCGTCATCGCTTCGCCGGGAACTCTGAGAGCAAGAGAGAAACCTTTTGCTCAGTTTTCACTTTAAAAAAGGCAGTTGCATTAATTTGACACTGATTTGGGGGGAGCGTGAAGCCAGTAAGAGGAAAGTGAAAGTCCTTCTGCTAGAGCTTCAGTTTTATAGCAGGTGGCCCCATGTACTGCCACAATAGAAATGCACTTAGTCAATGATAGTGCTTGTAAACATGATAACAATAGCATGTAAGTAAGTCCTCACCTTAGCATAAACCAAAGATACTGAGACCTGTTGACCACGTGGTAACATAACGGCTACAGTCTCCTTGTTTGTAGACCTTTTGCAGACTATTTTTTTCTTAACAAATACAACTTAATCTCCATGCTCTACCTTCCTATCAGCTGCTACAGATACTCTGAGGGAGGGGGTAAGCGTTCCCACCTGTGCCTGTGGTTCCAGGGTCTGAGCACGGCCTCTGAGATAAGTCATACAGGGAACCTGCTCAACTTGTGGCTGCTGGAAATAGGCCTGATTTTGAGCCATCACAAAAGGCCAGATGTTTTCTCTTAACTCTGCACTCTTGTGGATGCTGAGCATTTCGCCAAGCCTTCCTTCCTCCCCCGACTCGGCAGGGCTCTGTTGTCCGCCCACCATGGCCCCGGGGTGCCATGCCCCACAGTGGATGCTGCCGAGCACCCCAAAATCCTTTGCCTACAATAGAGTCGCATCTGGCAACTCTCACAGAAATATTTGTACCCAACCTTAATTCACAGTGGCAGAACCTACCCACCTCGTGGGCACAGTGGTTGTGTGAAACCACTGCTAAAAAAGAACAGCTTGGGAAAATCATAACCAGAACAACCGCACTGTGATTTATAAGATCATCTGCAATATTTCCAGGTGGAAGCTCTGACTTACTGCAAACCTTGAAGAAAGCACACTTCTGTAATTTCCCAGAATGACTCCCAGGCCCCTGAGGGTTGCATGTGTGTGTAACCTTGACGCTTTTGGTGGCCTGACCACTCCCCACCAAAATCTCATGAGCTGGTTTGGCTCTTTGCTGACCAGTTGAGGCACATGAAGCAGGTTGTACGTTGTAATATCCCACCCTGTGGGCCACAGAGGCATTCTGAGAGACCAGGGACGTCGGGATCCAGGAGGGCCCTCCCCGGCAAGCTCCATCACTGGGCAAAGGGGCACGCATGACAAGCTCTCCCCGTGCCAAGCCACTTACTGTGGAGTCTGCCCCATCCAGCACGTTTTGTATGAGTCTTTTCAGCTCACTGAGAGCTGCACGTAGGCTGCCAGCTGGGACATCTTTGGCTGATGAGGTTTCTGAAGACTCGTCCATGGAAGAGTCTGTGGAGACCGCAGAGTCTGCGCTGTCGTTCCCGCGGAGGTGGGAGCAGAGGTACCGCACTTGGCAGTAAGCTTCCCAGAGTTGCAACCTTAGCTGCAATGAGAGAGCCAGATGTTAGCCCATGATGTCAAGGTCTCCTTCCATGGCATAACGATGCATGTGATTGCTAAAGCATGCCAATATTCATCTAGTTTGCTTTGCTGACTTGGAAATGGATGCAGGGACTTGCATAAGGTCAAAAGGGTGTTGGAGCTGGGACTATACCTGGGTTCAGCTCCAAGGCCTTCGCATTAAACTATCTCTCCCTCTTCTCTGGGGGCCCTTTCTTACCCAGCAGATGTGGTGTTGCTGTGTCCTGTACACTTAGGGGAATGGGCATGCAGTGGTGTCACGTGGAAAACAAACGTTGGTGTGACTAAGGCACACCAAATGACTAAGGCATGGGTTACCCTGGTGGGTTTCCCTGCTGCCAGCAAGAGCAGCTTTGCAGACGCAGTGGCAAGAGCGTCCAGACTGCATTACCATGTCCCCTTCTGAGGGCTAGCTGTGTAAAAGCCAACATGCATGTCCTCCAGGGACTAGCCACAGAGGTTTGAGTGCTTTCCTAGTGGACAGGAGTGTTAATACCTGTTCCCGTTCTTGTTCCAACTCCTCTGCCTCCATGCTCTGCTCGATCTCAGAAAGCAAGGACGTGCTGGTTGTGTTGAAGTTCTGGAGACTTCGCTCCTCACTGAGCTCTTCGACCTTCCCCTGCAGCTGCCGATAGGATAGCCGCACCTCCTGGAGCTCCAGCTGGCTCTGGTGCAGCTTCCAGAGGAAACCAAGCAATTCGCCATAGAAGCAGAAGAAAAAATGAATGTTAGTGGAGGAGATATGGACTGGGGAGATCTCTGCTTGTGCAGGACCAAGAGGAAGGAATGGGTGGCACTAAAGAGGGTTTCAGCTGGGAGGAACTAACAGTAGCAGGCCACGCTTAAAAAAAAAAAAAGGCCAACTAACAGTATTCTTGACTGGTTTTACTAGTTACTGGAGCTTGATAATCCTCAAATTTTATTAGACACAGTTTAGGCTTTGGAATATGCTGAAAGATAAAATCACTGCATTAATTAGCACTAAAGTGAGGAACGTTGTGAAGAACTTGGGACTTCGTTAAGAAAATTTACTAAAACTAACACGGCAGGAAATGAATCCAAAAAAAGTAATAGCAGCACAAGTGTTTCAGAAGATATACGTATACACACACACACACACACACACACACACACACACACACACATATATGTATCTATAAATTCCGATCAGCTAAATCCTAACACCCAAAATTCAGATGTTGAAACTCCAAAAGCCATATTTCACTGCTTTGAAATCTGAGTTACTTGAGTGCTTGAAACACTCAGGATGCGTGGGCATTGATTTGTTTCAGTTTATCTATCTGTGGTCAGAGGACTGCAGAATTTTGTAAGCAGTAAATTATGATTTGTCTCAGTGGGAATAGTCCCTGCTGGGAATGGCCAGAAGCTAATGGTGTGGAAGTGGGATGGGCAAGCAAGCACGAGGTGCAACAAGTTGCTGCGTGAGTAGTGCTCACACAAATCCAGCAGAGATGAGTGCCATGGGGGTGGTGGACGTTGGAGGAGACCATGTAATCTGGCACACTGACAGGTTCCTAATTTCTCTGAGGAGGGCAGAAAGGATTTGGGAGCTGTTTTGGAGAGCAAAAGGGCTTAGATGATGTTTGGGTGGAAGGCGCTGGAGGCCATCTTTATAAATGCTGGTTACTGGGGAGGGAGCTGGGAGCCCCTCTAGTGGTCCTCCCCACACTTGGGAATGGAAGGGCCCTTGGCACGATGAAGCATTTAAAACCAACCCCAAGTACTTAAGCTATGACTGTATAATCACTTAACACCAAGGCAAGCACGTTTCGCTTCAATGCCTCTTTATGGAAGTGGGTAGAGCTACACTGAGCAGGATGAACCTGCAGGGGAGAAGCTGTAAAATCCCGTTCTCCACTAAGATGCTTGATAACACTGAAACGTTCCCTGGCAGTGAATGCCATGCAGCTTGCTGGCAACCTGTCTGAGCAGGAACAGCTCTGAGGCTGGTTACTGCCTCCTGGGCTAGCGCTGTCTGAAGAAGCCCCTTCTGGAGCCAGTTCTACTATTAAAATAAGAATTAAATAAGATGAACTGCAAGCAGTTTTCCACTTCCTTTGACATGTTTTCTCGTTTCCCTCACTTGCTCAGTTCTCCCTCCCAGCTCCCTCTTGTCTTTTGAGATGCCCCATCGTGGTTCCTGCTGTTCATCCCTATGGGCAATACCCAGGGTCTTGCTTGCTCCCGTGCTTTCATTAGCCATTTTACTTTTCTGGTTGTTCTTTCTTCAAATTCCTGATTATCCTACTGGTCAGTGCAACCCCAAGCCCGGTTTTCCCTCTCCGGCAGTGGTGCTCCTCACCTGCAGGTCCTTGTCGTGGCTTTGCCTCTCCAGCACCAGCACTCGATCCTGCAGCTCCTCCACGGTCCCCTGCAGCAGGTCGTTCTCCTCCATCATGGCGCTGAGGCGACGCTCCAGCTCCCGCTTTCTGTCCGTCAGCATTTTGATCTGAGGAGGAAGGAGAGTCAGTGTCTCACCCTGTGCTTTCCAGGGAACAGAGAGGAGGCAAATCCCCTTCCAATGGCAGAAACGAAGCAGAGGAACAAGAGGATGCCCGTGTGTATGCTGTACTTGCGCGGGAGCGAAACGACATCTCCGTGTGCAGCTTAAAGCTCAGGAGGAGCCCGAAAGGAAATTCCTCCTTCCTCAAGGCACTGAGGGCAGGGACGGGGCTGCCGTGGGGCCAGGCTGCGGCAGGGGCTGGGCTGAGACCATGGGAGGCTGGGGAGCATCCCGGCCTCCACCACCTCCGGGCTGTCCAAAGGGATTAAGTGGCACCGGACCTGCCCTGGGTGCCACGGCTCGGGGGTCCCGCTCCCCGCGTGGCCGTAGCTCTCCTTAATTGCTGTGTAGTTGCCAGGAAAAATCCCACTGGTGATTTGTCTTTCTTTTTCCTTGTGAAGGCTCCTTTCTGTGCCATGGTTATTTTTAGCCTCCCAGTGATGAGTTGCCTTTAAAATTGGTTCAATACTTTTAATTGCCAAGGGCAGTGGTTTCAGGTGGAGGGAGGCGGCGTGCCAAGCGACACCTCTGCACTGCACTCCGCCGGGAACGGGGCGCGGGATGAATCAGCGCTAGCCAAGGTCACTGCTTGATTCACTGCGAAAAGGGAGGCGTTTCCCAGATCAGTGTAAGAGACCCTTTGGGGGGGGTTGGCTTTACCATTCCCATGCCAGGACACCCCCAGATACTGCTGTGGCCTCCTCGCAGTTCATAGAGCATAGCCTAACTCAGCCCCTTCCTCCGCTTCCTTGGCCTGTTTGGGATCCTGCCTTTCCAGGCTGCTTCTCCAAGCTCTGATAGCTTAGGAGATAACTGAGAAAGGTACTTCAAACCACCCTTACGGGCCTTGATTAACCTTTTGCTTCTCTTTGTCCTCTTCCCTCGCACTCTGACTCTCGTTTTTTGATGGACGCTGACTCTGCTCTCACTTGCACAGACCCTTGGTACCGCAGCGCCCTCCGCATCCAGCTCTGCCCCAGCTGCCTTTTCCGGTCTGTCTCTGCAGACCCATGGCTTCTTTCCCCCACTAAAGCAGCACTAATTGCTATCTGACCTCCACGATCTCCCCCAAATCCCCCCTGTGGCTCCTGGCTGCCTTCCAGCGCCCGCGCTGGGGGGATTGCATGCACAGGGTGCAGATCCTCCCTGGCTGTGCATTACTGCAGTGGTTGGCTGTCCTGGAGAAATAAGGAACCTTGCATTTGTCCAGGGGGGTAAACTCTTTGGATAGATGAAGGAATATTAGCCAAGTATGTGGATTTGCTATTTGTGCTGTGTAAAGGCTGCTGTACACATTTAAAAGTGTTCTTAGGTGACTAATAGTTTCTGAGATGTCTCTTCCCACCACCATCATGATTTGCGTGGGTTGGAGAGAAGGAGTGCGAGAAAAATAGAGGTATAAAATAGAGATGTATTGCACAGAGAGTTAGTATTTTCTGCCAAAGTCAGTAATGCGCATCTGTGAATGACTGCATAAAAGAAAACCATTGCTCTCTTAAGGGTGCCTGGCCGGGGGAAGGACACAAGGGGGAAGGTGGTCTGGACAGCATGAGATGGGGGAGCTGGCGGGCTGAGGCATGCACAGTGATGGTGAACCCCCCATGCGGCCAAAGCCCGTCCCAGCCACTGTACTTACTTCGAGGACCTGCTGCTCCGCGCCAAGGGGAGGGGAAGAGAAGGCAAAGGGACCAGTGGGGAGCAGGTGGGGAGCGGGAGAGAAGAAGAAAAGGAGAGATTTTAGGAAAAACTCTTCCAGACAGCTTAAATTAAAATAAAATAAAAAAAAAAAGCAGCAGGGTGGTAGAGCTGGACATCTTCTACTCCACCAGTTCCTGCCCGAGAGGTCCCCATCCACCTCCTATCAGAGACAGGAGGAGGAAGGAAGCTAATATCACCCGTGCTGATGTACCAGAGCTAGAGCAGGCACGCGGGACCTCCCTGGGTACGGCGGGCTCCTGCCCTCAGCAACGCGAGCTGGGGGGCCCTCGCACAGCTGCTGTGCTTGGGCACAGTAGCTCTGTAGACTATTTCGAGGGGGGACACACAGGATCTTCCTGTAACTCTGTTACACACAACGGACATTAGCTTAGAGAAAAGGAAAGCAAGCGAGGAGGAAACCGCCCATGCATTCGCCCCCTTCGCCCCGCAGCTGGTGTCCTTTACCTCGCTGGTTTTGATCGCCCAGTTCAGAGGGGTTTGTTACCCAAAAATAATGCCGGGGGCCTGCCGAAGGAGCGAGGTTGAGCCAACCCCCCGGGAGCCGAGCGCGGCGACTCACCTCGGCCTGGAGGCTCTCGAGCCGCACGATGTGCTGGCTGCTCGAGGAGCTCTTCTCCCGGAAATCCTCCCGGAGCGTGTGGACCTGCAGGGAGAGCTGCCGCTCCACCTCCGACGCCTGCAAGGAGAGACCGGCCGTGTTACCCCCGGGGGTTACCAACTCCTCCTGCCCGGGGGCGGCTCTGCCGAGCCGGGAAGAAAACTGGGAACGGGTGTTACTTCTGCACGAGACCTCGCTTGGACAGAAACTCAAAAGCCTGTAGAGTTTGAGCCGGGGAAAAGCTTATCCTGGACAGACGTTGAGGACAGCAGCTATTTGGACCACAAGGATTTTCCCTTACAGATGGGGCAGCCGAGGGGACATGTATCCTGGAGGATACGAGCTGCAGGCAGCCTACATAAACGACAGCTTAGACATATTAATTGCTCTCTGAGCAGCTTTATGTCTGATTTTTACACGGTGAACACACTTGTTTAGGCTTGTAAGTGAACATAAGGTTTATTTTTTTTTATGACAAATCCCTTATGAGATGGCACAAATGGATGGGTTTCTGTTTAATTAGTCTCCTTCAGGTTCCACTACACTTAGGCACAGATTTCTTGTGGAACGAGAACTTGTTTCCAGCAATAAAAAATGATCTCATCTACTCACTGATTTTCAGTTTCCCTTCTATCCTGGGCTACAGCTGGTCTTTGCCTCTTCTTTCAAGCCACACAGCAGAGGCGATCACATATCCCCCCACCTCAGTTATTTATTTATTAAAGCTTCCTTGCACAAGCCAGGTACACAAACTGTAACGATGGCACAGCACTACAGGAGGGGTTTGGTTATTTTTCTCCCTGCAAGCAGCCATAGTGTTCAAAGCATCCTGAGCAGCTATTAATTGGTGACATTAAAGAAGATGGATGAATTGTGCTTTTTATGAATGATTCACTCATCGTTTTTGTAAAGAAACATTTTCATGCTGAAATAGCCTACAGGAGCTACGAAGGAGGAAAAAGCACCAGATGAAAAGCGCCAAAGGGTTTTGCCTGCAAGCTGCTGACCACACTCCCAATGGCTGCAAGTGGTACCAGCTGATAGGACACATCGGTATTTGATGCTTAGTTGTATAACATAATTTATATGCTAGAACTATGATAATATATAGAGAGTTCAAATATATAATACAGCAGTAAGAAATAGTGGAGTGTTAACAGCATTGTGAAAAGCTCCTGTAATTTGATATCTAGACTACTGTTGCTAAATCTGGTCCCCGTGCTCAGATCAGAGCAGGTGAAGGGAAGGGCTGCAAGGGGGATCCAGGGCGCGGAAAGTCTGTTATGTGAAAGGAGACTAAAAGCGGATGGCGTGTTTAATCTCATGCAATGCATGCTGAGAGAGAACTCCCTATAAATACATCAAGGATAAGCACACAGAAGGGAGAAGTGCTATTTAAGCAGAAGCATAATTTTAGCAGAAGTACTGATGTGAATAAACTGGATAAGAGTATACTGAGGCTGGAAATGGGAAGATTTCTAAGTTTCCAAGCAGCTGCAGCAGGATTTCTCCTCCTGAATCATTACAATAGGAGGAATGGTGGCAGAAATGAATTTTGTGATGGCTTGGGATGACTTTCTCCCTCTCTTTTGGAAGGCTGCCTACAACAGTAGGGAAATGAATTAACCTCAGAGGTCCTTTCCAGTACTGTTCTGCTTGCAAGACTGCAGTTTGTATTCACCAGGTTTATATCATCATCTAAGATTTATCTACTTACTACTCAGATTTCACACTCACACATCTTATTGCCATGGTTATAGCCCACACAAAGGGAAGAAAGGACTCTCTTATGGCTAGCATTAACAGCCCTAATGTAGATGGGGTGACTTATGGTGGCCCGTCAGTTCAGACCATTCACATCCTATCTCATGCAACAAGGAAGAGTAAAAATAATGCTTTCTTTAGCCTCATAGAGTGCAGAATATACCATCCTTGACCAACAGCCAACAGAAATAAACAGGAATGGCTACATCATGAGTTTCCCTCCATAGGAGAATGACAAAAAGTCCTCATCTAGTTTTTCTGCATTAGACCCCACTTTTGCAAAGATTTCAGTTTTCATGGTTACAAGATAAAATCTTTGGAGACAAAACCACCTTTTAGTGCAGTAGCGCTTTCATGCTACTTTTCCTTCAGAGGTATATAATATTGCTGCCAAATTACCCCTCCCAGTTGATCATAAAGTCGAGATTTTCATGTAAATTAGCATTACTTTATGGAAAGCCACCTTGATAGCATCCAATGTTCCCCAGGTTTTGGGACATGTGTTTCAGTGCAGTGACAATTTGGGTTCTCTGCTCTGCTATAGGTGGTGTGTGTGTGCATGCATGTGTTTTAAAGCACGAGCCCACTATTGATTACTTATAACACGCTCTTTTACTTGGTGTCTTCAGAAGATCTAGCCTTCTCACTACGTTTTCCCTTTAATGCTTGAGTAAGCTGTGACTTTCTTGTCTGTTGAACTGAGGCAAGTTCATTCAACATCAGACAGTAGCTCTGCTCTCATTATGCAAACTATAGTGCTCTCTCTTCCCCATCAGTGTTTTCCTAAATATTAAAGGTTAAAACCTTTTGTTGTTATGTCCGTCATTGAGCGATGCATTGATATTGCTAGAGAAAAGTGATACCCTTTTTGGAAAGGCAGACATATATTGTCCAACATCATAGCTTTCCTCAGTAGTTAAGAAGGAGTTAATTTCCTGGGTGTAGACAAATTAGGTGACACAGCCACTGGGCAGTTTGAAAAATACCTATAAAACTGTAGACATCAGTTCAGAATTAGTTATATTAAAGTGGCTGTTGAGATGTGTTTTCTGCACTTCAGGCAAGGTTTAGATGAGATTTAGGCAATACAAGAAGGAAGAGCAGGGAGACATTTTGGCCTCTGCTCTAAGGGCTTCTTTTTCAGTGTAACCCTAATAAGTTTCTCTAGTGATTCATTCTGAAGTGCTAAAATACACAAATCTGTGTAGACATTTGGCAGAAAAATGTGCCTTACAATAACCCCTTGAGGTTTAACATCTGGAATACGTGAGATCAACCAGAGCATTGATGCTTGCGTGAAGAGAGGCTCTTTGTAAAGCTTTGGCTGGACTGTGAGAAATTTAAGGCCTGTAGGTCAGTCTCATGCAAAGAAAATCCTCTTCTGGGGAAAGATTTGCTAAATAGAACTAACTGCATGCAAAATGCCGTCTTATAAAATCATGTCAGAAAGAAAAAGACAATGGAAAAATAATGGATAGAAACTAGCTGGGTGAAGAAACCAATGTTTCCGTATTATGTACTTTTACAAACAGGATGATACAAATTAACAAAGGATATTCAAGATTTACTTGGCTAAAATAGCTAAGAAAGCAAAGAGAGCTCCTAATTAGTGTTAAATTTGTAACACCCAGGAGAGCCTGTTACCCCTTTTATTAATTTGCTAATAGCTGAGTTGAAGGGAGTCCCCGTTCCCTGTGTGGTACCATTAACACTTCACGTCGCTAATCACCGCCTCCCTTGGCTTGAGGGTCCTGAATTCCCGACTCTTCTCAGTGAGGAAAGTAAAATAATGTATTTGGCTACTGAAAAGCAAGCGGAGGAGGGAACTACAAACATCTTGCTTTAGAATAATAAATTTAAAAAAGTATTGAATCGTCTCAGAAGTTCGTTGCCTCGAAGATGAAGAGGGGAGGCAGAGGAAGAGACACACTGGGACCAGGGATGCCGAGGAGCAGTCCGGCACCCTGGTGCCCGCAGCAGCCGCAGGAAGCCAGGTTTTTGGGCTAACCAAACTACACCGAGAAAGTGGTGAGGCCACAGCTATCTTCCAGTCCCTGGCACACCAGTATCATGAGCAGCTGTCTATATTTTGCATGCCTAGAGGTTGCCCAGTTTGAGAATCTCTGAGAGATTTTTAACCAAAGCTTTTAATTCAGATCAACTTTAAATTGCTGGTGGAAGCATTACTCTATTCAGGAAAGTGCTTGTGTAGTAGCGACCATGTGATGTTTGCTGTTGGTTACCTTTTGAGGGCTCCAGATTACATTTGCTGCCTTATACACCCAGAGAAGGGGTTCCCGGATTGACATGGGCACAAACAGCCCCATGAATGGGCAGCTCAACGGCAGCTCTACCTCTCTGATAGAGAAAAGTAACAGCACACAGTTCGCTTTATCAGGAATCGTCATTTATGCTCTTTGAACACACAAGGGAAGTCCTACCTCCGTTTCCTCCAGAGCACCCCTTCCCATGGCTCCTAAATGTTGTGCAGACCACCTTGAGCTGGGAGGTGCTGTGCACCATGGGCAAGGGTCAGCATCATCCCTGTCTCTGCCAGGTGACACGGTGGGGTCGAATCCCCCTCTCCCTGCCTTACCCCTCTCTCTGCTACTTTTTAGGTGTGGGAATATTTAACTACCTAAACTGGGCAATAGCCTGCTCCTGATGCGAGAGCCCCCACCGTCTGGAGACGTTACATGGGAAAATGAGAACTCATGAAACCTGCAACACTTCCAAAATGTGTCAGTTGTAGAAATCAGACAGATGCTGTCAGCATTGATCCCATGGGGAAAATCTGGATTCATAAGCACTGCAAAAGTACTGAGCTATCAATATGTAATAGATATCTATTATACATGCTGTAGCTACAAGCAGGCTGGCAGGTGTATTTAGTAGTAGAGCCAGTATGCTGTCTGCTTAGCTCCTATGGGTTAAATTTAGTCCCTTACCCAGATCTCCTTCTGCTCAGGAGCCCCTCTCTGCAACCTGCCATACAGCTGCCAGCCAACTCCCCCGTTACCTTCTTGTTTTTTACATAGCTAGGAGACTAAACAGAAGAGGAACTGGAATTGCTCTTTCATAAGCAACAGGCTCATGAGATATTGCTGACGGGAGAAGTCTCATGGCTGCAGCGTTAAACCTGCTCAGAGAGGACTTTGTGAGGCAAAGGAGGGCGGTAGCATGTCATGCGAAGATTTGCACTTCTCCTTCCAGTCATAGGTATTCTGGAAATAAATGGTATTTTAATCCCCATGTGAAAGTGAAAATTCTTTGCCCCAAATTTGTCCTCCTTTCTCTTAATTTTTTCCCTTAGG